ATTAACCATGTTGAATATACCTGAGACTGGGGTAGAAAATAACATAAAAGTCGAAGAAACAGAAAGTGACAGGACGACGTCTCAAACTCAGCTACCAAGTTTATTTAGTCCTCCTCCTTATATAGCCCAAGAGTTGCCCCTTTGTGTTGGTGGTGGGCTGTTTGTGGGCTATATAACGAGGAGGACTAAATAAACCTGGTAGCTGAGTTTGAGACGTCGTCCTGTCCCTTTCTGTTTCTTCGACTTTTATGTCCTTTTCTACCCCAGTCTCAGGTATATTCAACATGGTTAACATCCACCAGCTCGCCTGCACCCTTACTATTTTATCTTTGAAAAATTACCATACTTTGGGGAGTTGTCTTCTTTCCCAATCAAAAATTCCAACATGTTTTTCATAGAAATGAATTCCGATATAGAATATGACAGGGTACCCAAATTTAAAAAAAAAAAAACGAAGGTTTTTTTTTATTTTTTTAATTTGCATCGGATTTTTTTGTTGCTTGAAGTTTTTCTCATGTTTGCCTAAATATATACCGACTATCGTATCACTCAGATACCTTATTTAGTTTTTAAATGATAGCCATATATAAGTAGAATATTATCTTAAAGGTATATGATAATGATTAAATTATTTCATGAGATACAGGTCGCCAAATTTTTCCATTTGTCGTTCGAGCGGCCCTTTTTGGCAATTTTTAGAAAACGAAATATAATATAAATAAATAAAATTACTATATATTACAAGCAAGGTGTACTGATAGCTTGTTTCTAAAAAGTATTAGAATTCTCCTTTTTTTCGTTTTAGTAATTCACTTTCAAACATGCCCCCTCCATCAGTGCGCGTAAATACAACTGTCCACCTCTTCATGCCTTATGGTTTTTTCTATTCCCACATTTTTTTTTTTTTTTTTTTTTTGTCAAAACTAAGTTTGGATTTGTTCATACCAGACACATAAAAACATCAGTTGATTTAAAAATGTCGACCAGCTACCCTTTGGTCGATCTTATCTGAAATCACCCTGCAGTGCCATTTCCTTACATTACCCGAAACTGGGGCGAAACTGGGACGTTTCGACGCATACCCGTGCCACACGGGCAACTCGAGTGCCATTTACAACGAATGACATTTGAACGATCGGCCAATCAGCGCGCGACACTCCGAGCGTGGAGCGTTCCACGCGCGACAGATCGCGAGCCGATTCATCGATCACACGAATGTCATTCGTTGTAAATGGCATTCGAGTTGCCCCTGTGCCACGGGTATGCATCAAAACGGGGAAGAGAAAGGCAAAATGATAGGAAGGCGACGTCTCGAACACAAGGTTTATGCCACGGCTCTGGTTTATTCAGTTCACTCTCCTATATTATATACCCCCACTCTTATACCGCCCTCTAAATACTATACAGGCTCCGCTAGCATACACAGTTTCACTAAGTTTCGCTTGCTGGCAGCCTGGCACCGATGGAAGAATGAAGGAGAAAAGGATTACATCACAAAGAGGTGGCCAGAAGGTTGAAGGAAATTATCTGCAGGGCCATTTGAATGAAATACAACTAACTATCACAGCTGAGACAGGTGGGACAAAGAAAGTGAGACTCACCTCCTCGCTGCTCTGGCCCAGTCTCAACTAGGGATGTCGCGAACCACCCTAGGTTCGATTTCAAAAGGTTTTCGATATTTGCGAAGTGAACTGAGGTTCGATATCGAAAGATTTCGATATTTTCGTACCGACCGAGGTTCGAATTCGAAAAATTCGGAACTTTCGATCACAGTAGAGTTTCGAATTCGAAAAGTTCGAAGCTTTCACGGTTTTTAAAATTTCGGGTTCGAATATTTCGAATATTTTTTCACTTGAGGCTCGATAAATTCGAAGATTTCTAACTTTCCTAACTTGAAGTTCGAGATATTCGAAAAATCTGAATTTTTGGGGATCTGAAGTTCGAAAAGTTCGAAGATTTTGAAATTTTTGGAAATAAAATTCGAAAACCTCAAACGCTTCGATTTTTTATATACATGAAGTTCGAACAACTCGAAGATTTCGAATTTCTTTGTGCATAAAGTTCGAAAAGTCCGAAAGTTTCGAAATTCGGGGGGAAAAAAGAACTTCGAAGATTTTGAATTTTGAGTTTTCAAAGTTCGAAATCCGGTTTTCAAGTTCCTCCACAGTTTCAGTTTCAAATAACGTTTTCACGACTCACTGGTTTCCACGAAATCAAGTTTAGAAAAGTTAGGGTGTGATATCTAGACTCTGCGAAGTTGGTCAGGCAATTAAATGAGACGACCAGTGTCCCGGATGTGCTGGAATATTTGCCAGTGCCGAGTGACGTGTGACCATAAATCAGTAATTGTGACCGCCAGCCCGAGGGGGGGTCTTTGACGTGCATCACGCAGTAGTGATCACGCGAACACACTGTTTTACGATACTCATCTAGTTCGAAATGGCCAGGGGCGGGCAGGAGGTTGAGGCTCAGAAAAACCTTGAAGCGACCTGGCAGACTACCTCCCCACCCCTTGCACGCTGGTAGTAATCCGATCGAACGCCGCCCGAGTGACGCTGGCATATAGTAAGTTAAGTTTGTAATTGTTTAGGAGGTTTATATTCTGGGACGGAGGAATCGCCTCGCAAAAAGCACAGAACCCGACACAACTCGAGGTCGAGGAGCGTTCTACCATACAAGTGGCGTCGGAAGAGGAAAAACGGGAGAGGAGGGGGGGGGGGGGGGGGGGGGGGCTGGGGTTCAGCCCCCCCTTCTAGATATTTCGGACTTATTTTAATCTGAAATTATTTAGGCATATGTATAGCTACTGTCGCTCTTCACTACATAAAAGATCGCGTAGATGGTCATTGTTAGAAACTCGTTGTCAGAAGGCACTACTCGTCACATGCTGAGTGGTTCGGAAGTTCAAAGCTATGTCTTAACGACCTAAATAACTGTGCCAATGGTAAAAAAAAAAAAAAAAAAAAAAAAAAAAAAAAAACATATTAATAAATGCGGGGATAAAAAGCTAGAGGAAAAAAAAACTATCAAGAACTCGCCGGAAATGTTGCAGTCTTGCATATTCAGAGGTTCAGAACTTCGAAACAACTTTCTCCTACCAAAATGTGTACAGGCTAAAAGAAACACGTCCCAGGAACGTGAAGCGAAAAAAAAAAATGTTTTAGTTTAATGATGTGCTGAACTTTAACAATATTAGAAATCTTCTCCCATGAGTTAATTTATCCCTTAACTTGAAAAAAACAATAAATACATTATTTTGTATTCTGCAGATGGCAATGATATGTACTGTCTGTGGTGTTAATTTAAATGCGATACCTCAAACAACTTAGACGAAAATAAACACATGTAGATACTTGTTCGGACATTTCTTCGAAACTCAGCTTAAATAACAATAATCATATCTTAAGACTACACTTACCTATGCTATACATAGATCAATCTTAAAAAGTTTAACATCTCTACCATAAATAGCTTCGGCTACATCGCGCTTCAAATCTGGCACAAGCGATAAACGTCAAACACCCGTCGTCCTTCCTCGCTCCTTCGGGAATTTATTTCTTTAAAACTAAGCATGCCAGAACATTGAAATAAACGGCATTGTCTTTCGTAAAGAACGCAACACCGCATGTAAAAGTTCGAGAAAAAAAAAATTACGAATGTGCCTCAGTACTTGAATTCAAATGAGACCGTCCGCCGGTCTTTCGAAGTTCGACGAACTTCGAACTTTTACCTTAAAAGGTCGAAGGTCGTCGACCTTGTGACTTCTCAGGATTCGAAAGTTCGAAACTATAAATAAGGTCGAAAGTTCGAAAATTATCGAATTCCTGAGCACAGGAAATTCGAAAGGTCGAACAGCTTCGACCTTTTTAGTGCAAGAAATTTGAAGGTTCGAAAATCATCGAATTTTTGGTCAGTCAAGTTCGGAAGTTCGGCAAGAGTCGAATTTTGCAGCGTGATAAGGTCGAAAGTTCGAAAAGGATAGAATTTTTTAGCGTAATAAGTTCGACGGTTCGAAAAGCGTCGAACTTCTTAGCTTAACAAGCTCGAAAATTTGACTTCCGTCGAATTTTACGATATAGAAAAGTCGAATGTTCGAAATCTTTCGAACCTTTTGAACCGCTTGAATCGATCATCGAAACTTCGATTCGAAAAAAGTTCGCGGCATCCCTAGTCCCAACTAGGGGTGTCGCGAACCGGCCGAGGTTCGAGTTCGACCAGGTTCGACTTTTTCGACCTTTTGGTGGAAAATTCGACGAACCTTGTATTGAGGTTCGACTCGTGTGCGCATGCGCGACAGGCTGGCCAGTTGGCTTCGGATTGGATGGTAATGGCTAAGGGATAAATTAAGGGCAGCGCTGATTGGTTATTTCACTTAATACAGTACAAAAAAAATTAAGTTATTAACCTCTTCAGTGATTAGAATTAGTTTTTTTTAATTGCAACTGCTTATAAAATAAAATAATTATTTTCTTAAAAAAACATTCTCCAAACCTAGACATGCTTGTATCAAGGTCTGGCCACACTGTCCACAAAGTCGAACCAGTGGTCGAACCGGTCGAATCTGGGGAAAAGGTCGAAGGTTCGTCGAACCAGTTCGACCCAGTCGAACCCCGAAAGTTCGACTTAAAAATCTGGTTCGACAAAAGTTCGCGACACCCCTAGTCCCAACCCGGTGTTTGGGTAAAAAGGAAAATTGGCGGCTCCCTCGCCTGTGTGAAAAGGCGGAAAATGCATGATTTTATTTTATTTTATTTTTTGTCTGGCTTTTCAAAGGTTATTCTGATGATATCCCTCACGGCCTGGCAATAGACAAAAAATGCAGAGGAGAAGGACGTTTCACCTTAGCATGCACTAACTGCGAAGGCTGTGCAAACGCGAGCGGGTAGCCTTGACTGAAGCAATCGCCGTGTTTTGGTTTTAGGCTAGGCGGCGCAAGTTACCGCCTTTTGTGAAGGGTACAGCCAGGTACAGCCGTTAACATTCTTTCGTCTAGCGACCCAACACCGTGCCCATTTTCGTGCCTGCACCCTGCACCACCTGCACGCCCGCACCCCGCATGCACACCGAGAAAATGACGGGCGCTGAGTACCCAAGCTCGCTGCTCAGGTTGCGAGAGCTGCAGGAAAGCTTTGAGAGAGAATATAAAGACGCAGAGACGGAAGATCGGAACTCGCTAATCCACCGCTATATTGCCTCTGTTGATGACAGCGATGATCGTTTCCTACTCGGTGACTTCGGTTCAGGTCGGTTCCTCTTCCTTACCTAAACTTTAGTACAGCGCATGCTAAAGCTCTACGTGTGCTAAAATATATATATATATAAAAAAAAGCCTAATCGTCACTGTGTATTCGCCGAACTCGGAACGCGTCTTGGGCTTCGTTGCTCTCGCGAGGCCGACGAGACGAGCATCTCCTGCTGAATGTAAACAAATACAGAACGTGCACACCGAGGTGCCGCCGATTGGCTTGACTGCGTACAACTTGGTTTGGAAGTGACTGTCCCGAACTGGTCGCTTTCGTTCGTGATCGTCGCTTTTGTGAAGAGTATGAACGCACCTGAAAAGACTCCGCTGATGTGCTCACGGGCCACGGTCCTGGGTATCGGCTATTTTCTTACTCGGGTCGTGTTGGCTTTAGCCAACTTCTCGCGCATTACGAAAGCAACTCAAAGATGAGTTTACGTACGCACGCAATTTCGCAAAAATGACACACGCACGCAAAAGCCCAAAACGTGCTTTGCGTTCGCTACGTACACAGTGGCGACGACGCTATTTCTTCGCGTGTGGCCTTCTAAAACTGCCAAATGAAAAAAAAAAAAAAAAAAAAAAATTACGAACCCGTTGCATCTTTCAGACATGGACTGGATTAATACCTCTAGACCGCTGACTGCGTCGGACCTGCGCGGCCGCGTGGTGGTGCTGGACTTCTTCACCTTCTGTTGCATCAACTGCCAGCACGTGTTGCCCGAGATCAAGCGCCTCGAGGAGGAGCTTCCCCCGTCCTCGGGGCTGCTGGTGGTCGGCATCCATTCGGCCAAGTTCCAGCACGAGAAGCGGCCGTCGAGCATCGGACAGGCGGTGCAACGCCTGGGCATCAACCACCCCGTCGTCAATGACTCCTCGAGCCGGCTTTGGCGAAAGTTGTGGGTTAACTGCTGGCCCACAATGGTGGTCCTAGGGCCCTCGTCGCAGGCCCTGCTCATGCTGGTCGGCGAAGGGTCCACGAGTTTCCTGCATCTTTTCTGCCGAGCAGCGGTGGACCACTTTGGACCCGACCTGCGGCTCAGTGCGTTGCCATTGGACCCAGGCGGCACGCCTTTTTCCAAACCCCTCCACTTTCCTGCCAAAGTGTTTGCCACCGAGACGAGGCTGGTCGTCGCCGACACGGGACATCATCGGGTGCTGGTGGCGGACCATGACGGCAGAGTGCTGTACACGGTCGGGTCGCCGGAGCCAGGATGGCGGGACGGCGCCCTCAATGACGCCCGCTTCAACGGTCCGCAAGGGGTCGTATGGAGGGACCCTCACTTTGTGTACGTCGCAGACACGGGGAATCACACCGTTCGCGAAGTGGACTTGGAGCAGGCGCAAGTACGGACCGTGGCGGGCACGGGGCAACGGGGCTCCGACCTGGAGGGGGGCAGGCAGGGACCCCAGCAGCCGCTTAGTTCGCCGTGGGACCTCTGTTTGGTGGAAGACATACTCTTCATTGCCATGGCCGGCTCCCACCAGCTCTGGGCGCTTGCGCTGCGGGATAGCCAACTCTTTGGAAAGCTGTGAGTTCGGAGAGTGCTGCACACGATCGAGTTCAACAGTTGCCGTGCTTGTTCCGTCTTTTCAGGCATCTCGGCGCGGGCACGTGCTTGCGCATCGCGGGCAGCGGCAGCGAGGAGAACAGGAACAACAGTTACCCGTTGCGAGCCTCGTTTGCCCAGCCCTCGGGAATTGCCTTCCATCCGCCGGATGTGCTCTGCATTGCCGACAGTGAGAGCTCGGCAATCCGGACGTTGTCTCTGCGGACTGGAGCTGTGAAAAATCTTGTTGGTGGAGCCCTTAATCCTACGGTAGGCACGTTCCTGGGTTCTTCTTGACTCTAATTCAAATGCCGGAGGACGGAGCGGGCCTTTGCATCTTTGCACTCCCTTTAATTAGATCAACATCTTCACAGAAGTACCTGAGTAGGGTAGACTAAATAGTGAATGCTTAATGAAATACTAAAAACAGTATTTGAAACTGTATAGTATGAATGTTGCAGTTTCAAACCTGATGGCAGAGGCACACTGCTGTTCAACCTTAAAGGTGCACTGAAGACATTTCTGAGATTGTCTCTTCTTGGTGATAACTTGCCCATGGGCTCCAAGCATCCAGAAATCCAGAAATTATGCCGGTGCGACGTCTATTTCCCTACCATACTCAAAATGTGGTCGAAGTTCGTGCCACGCCCCATTGTGAGAAGAAAAATTGAGCACAAAATTCAGTGGAGGCGCCGGCGGCGTGACAACGAGCGCACAGCAGCCAGTCACAAGCAGCCTCTCTTGGAAAGGCAGCTTGCGGTTGGCTGACGCACGCACATCGTCATACCGTCGGCGCCCCCGCTGAATTTTGTGCTTTAGATTTTTCTGCTCATAAAGGGGCACGGCACAAACTTCTATTACATTTTAGTAAGGAAATAGACGGTGCACGAGCATAATTTTTTCGATTTCTCGGATGCTAAGATCCTGTAGAGTGAGTTATCAACAAGAACAGACAATCTCAGAAACGTCTTTAGAACAGACAATCTCAGAAACGTCTTTAAATGCATTTAATAGTGCCACATGAGAGCCAGGCTTTGGCGAAGGGACACTCTCCTAGCAACTTGTTTTGCCTGTTGTGTGAGGAGGCATAAGCAACCTCCAGACCTGGGTGTGTGGAGGAAGTTGGACCACTTATGCGATTGACTGATTGCTTAGCACGTTTTGGCTGTCTATTCATATGAAACAAACTGCAAAACACCGATTCATGTCGTTGGAGTTTTGTGCTGTAGTAAGGTGGATAGTCGAGCTAGTTGGTAGTTGTGCAAGATTTGGGGAAAACAGTGCTATAAGACAAGGACAAAGAGAAGGAACATCGATGCACAAGAGCAAGACAACAGGTAATGGAGGTCTACCCCATCATCTGTAGGGGAAGTAACCGTGCGGGCCATGCATCACTGGCATTATCTGAAAAAGAGTTGGAATTTCTAAGGATATGACGATAAAGGTACCGCATGGGCCACCATGAACGGGGGGCCTGCTATTATGGGGGCTGTGTGCCACATACGCGCGTGAAGGATTTTCTCTTTTGTCTTCGTTTTCTTCTAGTAAACCATATAGTGGTGAGTCAGCGCTTGTCCTGTCGTGTATGTTCCTTCTCTTTGTCCATGTCTTGTAGTGTTTTTCTTTTTTTTTCTAAATTAGTGTGCTGTGTTGTTGCAGTGAAGTAAGAAATATTTGGATGCTGTGTTGCCTTTTTCGATGGCCCCACCCCAAGGATGATGTACATGCCAGTTTTCAGTTTCTCTGTCAAACTCGATAGCTGCATTTTGGTGCTCTTGACCAAACATAACCTCCAAAGGGTCATTAAAGTTAAAATACTATGCACCTCCAACGAAATGAGATTTGCAGCTTGTTCCTTAATATTGGTAAACTGCCACAGTATATGGTAATTGGGCCGCTGCTTGAGCAGTTCAATTGCCTCCTCTTGGCCCAATTCAGAGGTTGAGAATGTACTGTCATGCGATGAGTAGTTTAACAATAACCGCTACGATAATGTCCCCGTGCCAGTGTTGGGAGCTTGCGCAGCAGTGTTAAAGGATGACGTGCAAAATTATGTTCTGCCTGGCAGAAAACTCTTCCCCAGTGTCCTTCTCTCTATTTCTTCTTGCACTCTCCTTGGACAGGGAGCTAATCCATGCAGAGAGGAAAGGTTTCCTCCTTTCTGGCTGCATAGGGCTTTAGGGTTGGAGAGCATGGAAAACTTAATTGCGGGCCAGTTCTACAAATCACTGGGGTAATCTGAGCATAGTGGAGGACTCCTTGCTAGCATGCTTAGCTTCCCACTTTTGCTCAGATTTCAAAAAGTGGAAGGCTCGCCTTTTGGGAAAATGTCAACTTCTGTCACCTCTACCAGGTCACTTAGCTATTCCTCTGCTGCCCATTTACCCACTGGACAAAAATCTCATTTTATTTTTTTCTCTTCTCCCAACAGGACCTGTTTTGTTTCGGGGATGCCGACGGCAGCGCGCTGGATGTCCGGCTCCAGCATCCCCTGGGCGTTTGCTGGAGTTCCGACAAACAGCTTCTCTACGTGGCCGACAGTTACAACCACAAGATCCGGAAAGTGGACGTGCAGAAGCGCCTCTGCACCACGCTCGCCGGCACCGGCGTCGCGGGTGACGCTACCGGGTCCTTTTCGGACGAAGTGCAGTTTGATGAGCCCGGCGGCCTCTGCGTCGTAGGCTCCCGCCTTTATGTTGCCGACACCAACAATCACTGCGTCAAGCTGGTTCACCTGGACTTGGGTTTTGTGGAGAAGGTAACTTTGACCCTGCCGGATGCGACCGACTCCAGGGACGAGGATAGTGCCAGTATGGACGTGAGCAGAGTGGCTCTGGCGCCAGAAGCGTGCCTGCGGTTAGTTCTGGAGCTCCCGGCGGACCTTGCGCCCGGCGCTCCCCACCAATGGAGACTCTCCTTCGACGAAGAGTGCTGGCTGCCCCTCTCTCCCTGCTCTGGGACTCTCGGGGAAACCGAGGTCGCCGCGAAGCTCCGGCTGCGGTCGGAAAACGTGGCACGCCTGGACGTGCGAGTGATTCTGGAGACCTACACGTGCAGGAACGGGACGTGCACTCCTCGGCTCCATTCGTTTCGCGTTCCCGTTGCTGTGGCCGGCCGGGGCAAGCTACTTGGTGAATGCCGCATCACGAAAGAAATGTACGAGGAGTGAGCGTGGATCTCGTTCGACAAGTGCTAAGCGGCGAGGGTGCTGTGAAAATAAGTAACTAATGCCGGGGAGCAACGGGGATGATCCTCTGCCTCCCTTTCGAGGCCGGCTTCGGCCAGTTTGAGCCAACAAACGGCTAATGCTGTTTAGCTGTGTACATGTACATCCGGTCAAAGTTCTAAGGGTGAGCGCTCGTTTATCCAGCATTCTTTCTCGCCATGGAGCAAAAAGAGACACTGGAGAAGATTAATATGTATCAGAGATTTGCAGTAATATCCCAAGTCGTCGTACACCCCACTCCATCACTTCAAATATTCTAAATTTGAACCCCGCAATTCACAAACACCCGTACTCCCTGAACATTGCGACCGTGAACCACAAGGTTGGCAGATGTTCCGGGACGAAGACGAGAGAAAAGAAATTGAACTTTTTCACTTTTTTCGAAATGGACAACTGAGTGTGTAGTACTATGCAATTTTATGATGGTAGCTAGGACCATACTGCTGCAACATTTCTAAAAGTTAGTTTTTTTTTAAGAACCATTACCGAATAGAACTGCCTACTGAAAGAGACCATTGACAGCCCATTGCCTTAGGACTTTTTCTCAATGCTTAATATATTTACTATACATGTGCATATAGTGGATTTGGATTTTAAAGCGAATGCATTAGTGGTTTTGGCCGAATATCTTTTATTCAAATATCGATTAGTTTCTTCAAAACCTTCCACTACTGTTGCATCGTGGTTGATTTCGTGACGGTTGTTTCCGAGCTTCCACTGGTTGATTTCTAAGCGAAGTTAATTTTAATCTAAGTATAAATATAAACTATGGTCTCAGAAAGTCCAGTGCCTACATTGGGATTGCAAAGTAAATGACGGATTTGACATAACATTAAACCTGTTGAGGTGCCAACCTATACCTAATCGAGAGGATTTATAAATCTTTCTATGCCAATATCCTTCCACATGATGAAAATAGCTCAAAGGACGAAGTGAAGAAACACCCGGCAGGAGAAAACTTCTTTCAATCTTAAATTTGTATAAAAAAAAAAAATCATGAATGACGTTACGTGATTGCGATATTTGTACTTTTGGAGAGGTAATCACGGCGGCTTAGCCTTGTTGAGCACGCTTTTTAGCGGGCACCGGTGTATTGCAAAGAAGAAACACACGCGGAAGCAAATTTTGCGTATGTTGCTTCTCCGCAGTGCTCCAGTGCTTGGCAAGTTGCACGCTCAACAGGGCTAACCCGCCGTGATCAACGCTCGAAAAATATTAATATCGCAGTTTATCTCGAAATAAATGTCAAATAGCGTATTATTCGAAACTACTTTTCGAAATTCGGATAGTCGGGCAGTCTTAGTATTTAAGGACTTGCCTGGTTGAATTTGTTTTTTTCTTATTTGTTATTGCTGTTTTGTATTGAAGATGTGCCACCTTTTACTACGTCCTTTGACTTGTGTTATATTCACACTTATCTGACCCCTAGCGGGGTCTGTCAAATACATAAATGAATAACTTCAGTGCCTTGTCTGGTAGCGTGCCAAAGGCAGCATAATAGTCCCTCCCGGGCCGCCGGTTGCCGACCCCTGGTTTAGCCGATGAAAGTACACGCACAGGAGGATGACAAATATTATGATGTCGTGCATTAGAAGCTCTCTGGTCCCGTCATCGTCTGAATCTCCAAACGATGTCGGCAACGCCAGGAGCTAAAATTCGTAAGAAAAAATTGCAATATAGTTGGATAGTGGCTCCTGTGATAAAACATCATTAGCTCGGTGCGCGCGCGCATCGAGCTTCACCGCTTTGCATCGGAGTGCTAGGAGCAGCGGTTGACATGGGTGATGGTGGAGCGCATGTGTTAGCGCGATAGACTCGGTAATTATGCTCGGTAATATTACAAATCGACCTTCTTTAATCCAAATTGTAAATTGACCTAAAAAAAAACAGTTGAGAAATAAATAAAATGCGGGTCTATATCTGATAAATATGGTATATATAGTTTCCGCGCGACAGTCATTGAAAAAGCAGCGAACTTTAACTCAACTCTGGCTCCATCGCCTCTTTATAGAGCATTGTCGTTTTTAAATCACAAGAGTAGGTTTTCATACGTGTTTAGGGGTGGTTGTTCTTGCAGTTTATGATATTAGTCTTGCGTTTGGTAGTTGCATAAAACTGGGGGACGCATTTAAGAGCGCAGCTCTTAGGCGCCCGTTTCCGGCTTGAGCGGCGTCGCCGTCGGCGTAACCGCGCGGTGCGTTATGGGATGTTTCCCATAATGACGTCACCGCGCGTTGCATTATGGGTAATTTCCCCCGCTAAATTTCGCGGAAAAAATTCCCCGCTAAATTTAGTGGAAAATATTTCCCGCTAAAGTTAGCGGAAAATATTTCCCGCTAAATTTAGCGGGAAGTTTAGCGAAATTTTTCCACGAAATGGGAGGAGGGGAGAATACGGATGAGGAGGAGGGGCATACGCTCCTCTCATCCTCCTCCTTCCCTTCCTCCTCCTCAAGGGCTGCGCTCTAATTCGGCGTTACAGGGGGCTATAAACGTCTAATTTTTTAAAGCGAAGTTGTTATGCGCTAGGGTCTGGGAAAAAATGCGTCCGCGGATGTTGACAGAAAGCTTCCCGTTGGTCGTGGCAAGTATGAATAAATAAAAAGAGGGGCAACCAGCGTGAGTCAGCCGTCTTTGGCATTGAGGTCCTGATCCCTTGTTACCATCTCTAGGCATCGTCCTCGAGGTAGTCCTTGAGTTCGTCCTAGCTGTCGTCCTCTAGGACGTCGTAAAGATAACAGCTTCGCTGGTCCTCCGTCTTCACGTGAAGTGGAAGGGCTCTACAATTTTTTATTGATAGATACGTTTTAGCGGATATGCAAATTTTACTGGCATTTTACATACATTATCTTTACCAGCTAAATAAACTACCGAGCGTAAAAGAGGGGGGGGGGGGGGGTAGCGGTTTTATCTCAGCTGAAATGTTGCGCCACATTTCGTTTGTCTTTTTTTTTTTTTTTTTTTAATTCCCATTGTAGTGGAACTTACTCTAAAAAGAAGGCCCTGTGTTCCCGTTGCGCCCTCTAAATGGTGTTTTTTGTTTTGTTTAAAAAAAACAAAAAAAGAAAGATTTGTTTAAAAAACCGTGAAAGCTACACTAATGCGGTTTGTGCAAGTGATTTATATGGTCGTTAATTAACTAAAACATGTTAATTAACTTTTTTAACTATTGAAGATACACATATATGGTTCTCATTAGAACTTTGCTGATCATCATCGAAAACAACTCAATCTACAATAGAAACTTTGAGCACGAGGGAAGTGCGTTGTGGCATTAAAGTTACCACTCGTGCAGCAGGAGCAAGGCTGCAGGAGGGAGTAAGGAAGGAGCAGTCCCGGATATCCACCTCTTAGCGGGCGATCCCGGAACTACTGATCGAAGGCCAAGTACCGTGTTGATCACTTTGGGGAGCATCTGTGAGCCGTCTTCATAAAAACAACAAAAAGGATGATGAGCAGTATGAAAAGGGGGGTTCCTTCTTTTTTAAGCTTCCCAAAGACAACTTCTTTTATGAAGAAAACGACATACTAGATTTTCTTAGTAAGAAATGTTTAGTTTTCGGTGAAATTGTATTTATTACGTCAATAAAATAGGTCTGCGCAAGTGTCTAACCAGTATATTGTATTTTTGTCATTGCCTTTTTTTTTTTCTTTTTTTTTTCCTGCTTTCTTCTTTTCTGTAATGCCTCTGGACCCTGAGGGGACAATAAATGAATTCATAACTAAAGTGTAGTCTGGTGCTCGGGTCCTCATCTGGCGACCTCTCTTTACCTCAGGTCCGAGTCAGTTTTGTCATTTCTAAAATACAGGGTGATTCAAGGAGACGCCAAGCTCTTCAAATCGACCGCAAAATTCGGTTTCTTAACCTATCGCGCTACGACTTTCTGCAGCGTTGCTCACAGATGGTGCATTTTTTTTTTTTTTTTGTAAAATTTGCAAAGAGCGAACTTACCTGAGGAAAAAGTAAAGAAAGAAAAAGGCTTCGCTTCTATGAAAACGCAGCGACGCCACCGGTCTTCAAACAACACGGTGCCGTTTCGCAAGGGAGACAAGAGATGGCGCAAGGAACGCTGCCAACGAACGAGCATACGGCGCCGAGAGCCGGCCTCTACAATCTTTTCGACTCAAAAGCGGCGCGCGTTCCGCAGGCAGCGACAGTCGCGGAACCAAAAATAGGCGCGGTGGCAAAAAGGAACTGCAGTTGCTTGTCTGCTAAAGACGCCGGCTCTCGGCGTCGTATGCTCGTTCGTTGGCGGCAGTTGGCGTCGCGACCGCTTGCGCCATCTCTTGTCTCCCGTGCGAAACGGTGCCGTGTTGCTTCAAGACCGGTGGCGTCGCTGCGTTTCTATTGTAGCTAAGCCTTTTTCTTTTGTTTACTTTTTCCTCGGGTAAATTCGCTCTTTGCAAAATTCAAAAAAAAAAAAAAAAAAAAGCACCATTTGTGGGCAAGCTGCACGAAGTCGCGGTCGATTTAAGAGCCTGGCGTCTCCTTGAATCACCCTGTATATATATATATATATAAAACTCCTTTTTTATCTTTTTAGATTGGAACCGTCTTCTTACTTCTGTTGCCATAATCCAGTCCGATTGTTTGTGTCTTGCCTTTACAGTTACATTTTATAAAATTGTATTTATTGTACGACTGTCGACCCTAAAGGTGTTGAAGTAAACAAATGAATAGAAAAGGAAGTAAATAACGACGATAAATTTGTTTTCTTTGTTCCCCTTCTACAGAGATAATTATCGTCATTATTGTCTAGATCACTTGCACCTTTGCATTAATTACATCGTCATCCTTGTAAGTAAATTACGGCTACCTCGCACAATATTGACAGGTGGTATGCTCGATACCCAATAAAAAGTTTACATACCATGCAAACAATTTTTTTTTGTAACTGCTTAATTTTAATAATTGTATTTTTTTGAAAGGAAACAGGGCAGACGAAGTTGGGATTCGTGGAGCCGACTGATTAGTAGTGGAGCCCATTACTCGAATTCCTCTTGATCACTAAACTTTTGCCCTAATCACCCTAACCGTTGTTAATGTGCAAAATACAAAAAAAAAAAAAAGAAAACAAACAGATAAAACCATTGCCAATGGCGGTTTCCAATTGCTTGTTTCCCATATATTTTCAAAACGTCGCACGACAGTAATTTTGAATTACGCGCCAATCCGCCGCCTGCTAGATCGCAAACTCAACGATGAAGTTAACTCAATCGGTCGCTGATTGGCCGCCCTTTTGGTCACGTGATGTGACGTTGCGATTGAGTTTTCCCTACGGATTCCGATGAAGTTCGAGCTATGCTGTTGAAATAATGAAGTTCGCGGTGACGTCAAAATGTCGTCACGATTGAGTTCGGCGATGGAGATAACTTTGTAGTAGTCGGGCAGCAAAAGTTGCCAAAGTCAATGAAGATGGCGACGTTCATGCCCGCGGACGGGGCGGACCAAAGCGGACTATCGCTACGTTTTTATGTGTTCGCCGTTCAAGGTTCGTCAGGGACGTAATCGGGGAATACTGCCCGACACTCGCTGGTGCTGACATTTGCCGTGGAAGCTTTGGCGGCGTCGCGAGGGGCCCCATATGGTGACCGCCGAGCAGCAAGTGCTCTCTTTGAGCGTTGCTGGCGGCACGTTTTGCTGCGACGAAGACGTCACCGTGCGTCGGTGTGCTGCGAGTCGCATTCTTTGGATGCTACAGAGGCGATAATCGATAACCCGGGGCTGAAGGTGGGTGGGCTTCGCGCGCCAAGTGAAGACGGAAAGACGACGACCAAGAAGTTCAGCGATGCGAATTCAGCGGTGTTGTCGGTAAGTGCTCAATACACATTTTCTCAATGCGCTTGCACGAGAGCTCTCGGTAGAAAACGGGTGCCTCGTTCACCGTGATGAGTGTCGTGTGAGATAGTCGCACGGATTCAAGCTTACTCGTGATTGCATGTGTATCATCCAAATGTCTCGGGCCTCAACATCTGGAAATTGTTCTGCTGCAGCACGTTGTGTACGTTTTCATTTTACGATTGCAGGTTCAAACTGGTACAGTATCTTGTTCTTTGCTTGTGTTGTCTGAAACGTTTCTGCTGCTTTTCTGCCACACCGGGTAGGGCGCCTCGTCGCTGGTCTGCCGCTGGCGTGGCCTAAGAAGAGGGGAGGAGCCTGGGAGAGGGGAGGGGGAGGGGCTATTGCGGAGCGCCAATGGCGAGGTGCGCGGAGGGGCGCGCGCCGGGAAGCAGGCACGGGCGCTGCGGGCTCCTATTTCAGTTGCTTTGTCGGAGTACAGATGGCGCTACGAGCGCGCTGTCGCGTGGAGTGGGGAAGACAGGGCAGACGGGCGCACCAAGGACGCGGACACCTCTTTGAGTTGCTTTGTCAGAGTACAGATGGCGCTACGAGCGGCGCAGTGCGCTCGTGACGGTTGTGCGCCTTTGCGCTACGCGGTGAAACGGGCGCACGGTCGCACTAGCGACGCCGGCGTGCTGTCGTGACGGCTCTTGCGGCGCGCCGCCGTGGTTCGCTTGCTTTTGACGGCTCTGCGCTCGGTCGCGCGTCGTCGCTCTCTCTGCACGCTTATGGCGCAGGTCACTTGATGAACTCGCGCTCACTTTTCTGCGCGCTTTTAAACTGCAGATGACGGGGCTCTTTAGCGCTTTTGAGTGTACACATTTGAAAAGTGATGGCAGTGAGGTCTTGTGAAAGTAATTCGGAATACGTAAAACAATCCCTGATTGATAGACAGTTTGACGTCTATTTTTAGGTTATTGGTTGTCGTATCAATACTGCTTTTCTTCTAGCAGTCTGCTAGCTGAAAGGCTCAAGACAAACAAAGACAACGCACTGGGTACATGACCTCGCATTAACGGAGATGAAAGCGAGGAACAGAAATAACTCTCGAACGGTAATAAAGTTGTTATTTTTGCATGAAAAAGCAATGCTTGTAAATTGCGAAGGGAAATGAATTTCCTTATCAGATATTCCTGCTTTCTTTTCACAAATTTCTTTTTCTTTTCGTAGGTTTGTTAGTTTGTGCACGGGTATTGTGACTCAAAATTGGAGCGAGCAAGCCAAAAGGCACTACGGCGCAAAGCAGCAGGGACTGGGTTAAAGAATTTTACATATATTCAATTTTTTGGACTGCACAATTAGTTCACATCTCTCGCCCACCATCAAACAACTTCTCACTCAGTGTATCAGTAACCTGAAAAAAAAAAATACAGTACAAATATTTCCACTTGTGTAGGTGATCAACCCAGTATAAAAGGCTCTGGATCAACCAATCGAGCGAGCACGGAAATAGAAACCGGAGCAGCTATCATCCAAGCATTTCAAACTTCGCAGTGTAGCAACTGCTGCCTGGCGAAAACAATAAAAATAAAGGAACAGCTGCACTGCGCGAAAAACTGGCTCCCACGCCACAATGCCCGATTGGAATTTTTTTTTTTTTTTTTCGCGGTGGTGCTTAGATACGTGTTCCCCACCAATACAAGCCTCGTCATCGTCCGTTTATTAGAGCTCAGTTATAAAATTTATTGAGGTTTTTCGTGTTTTGTTTTTTGCTTCCAAAGCACCTGTCAACGTGCTCCTGGCACTACTTGACCGCGCGCAGAGCAGAAGACATCGCGGTATTACAAAGTCCCTACATACGAGCAACTCTTACAAGCTGCGACATTCTTTGAAGCGCCGACTGCTTGACGGTGCAGTTCTAAGGAAGCGAATGGCGGCGCACAGCAGAAGACTGAACGGAATGGCGCCATTTTGTTCCAGTGGAATCTGCTTCGTCATTTGTATACATGCCTTGAACCTACGTCACATGACGACGTTGAACACCGGTAACAGGTACCCATGCTGGTGGTTGAGTCGATGGTGATTCGCGGCAAGAGCCTTGGTAAACTGCGCCGCGCTCGGTTGTAGCAATTGCTAAGTGCCCCGCCCAGCGTTTCGTCGGCATGCCCCGCGACAGAGTAATCATCAGGTTAGAAAAAGTACGAGCAGCAGGAAAGGAATGCGGGCGCGCATTACTGAGTTTGCGGACGGATTTCATAGCGGCGAGCGACCGCACTTTTCTACCGTTGTTTACGTTGGTGCACACCTTTGCCTCTGCTTTCTCCGTTCGTCCTGTGGATACCCTCGGCCTTTCGTTTCATCACGCCGTTTCCACGCTTCAAGCGCACATTTGGGCTGTTTGCCCGGCCAGGCGGCGATCGGTCAGCGGCGCCGCCGTGTGCACGCTCACAGAGACGCCGCCGCCGGGGCATCGGCTTGTGCCGTCTGCGACATGATAACCTTTGCAAGGAGCGAAAGTGTGCACGTGAGCTGCTTAGGAAATATAATTTAAACCTTGATACAAGGAGAGTCGTCTTGTTCAGTATTTTTTTTCTCCTTTTTTCAGGGTTTAGATTATGACGGTAACCTTACTTTGCTTACCAGTACTTCGCGAGATCGTAAATGTTTTACTACAAGCGGCTTTTTTTTTGCCGACAGGATGGTTTTTTTGCGTCAAAACTTCGTTGGCGGCATATGGAAACTTTTTGCTCATAGCGCAATCGCACCCACGCTAGCAGCCGCCTGCCGCTCCTTTTATAACGTCACATTTCTCCATATCGCTAGCAGGGAATCCCGATGGACAATGCCCCGGCCAAAGCGATAGGGC